GCTGTACTTCCTGAGGAGGCTGAGGAGGTTTGGCATGTTGCCTAGGATCCTTTGCAACTTCTACAGCTGCATCATTGAGAGCATCTTGACCAGCTGCATCACTGTCTGGTATGGCAGCACTACTGCTATGGACCGCAAGCACCTGCAGAGAGTGGTAAAGACTGTGGAGAAGATCACCGGGATTCCACTGCCCTTTCTGCAGAGCGTTTACCACCGCAGGGTGTGTAGAAAAGCTGCCTCCATCCTCAAGGCCCCCATCCACCCCCAGCACGGACTGTTCTTTCATTGTACGGGGAAACACGTGCATACCACAAATAAACACTTTGACGTTTGATCTAGCTGTAATTGTTCTTTCTGTCTATGCAGGCTGTGGAGAGGTCCTTCTCCAAAGCAATGTTAAACAAGTGATGTGGGACAAAATCCTTGTTCCATTTAAAAATACATTACAATATACATACATACAAAGTTAATCTAATGTGAAACAGTTTGAGTTAGTCATACCTTGACTATCTTATAAAGTTACAGTCTTTATCATTTAATCACCTGCTGTACTTGCATGGAACAAGCACAGTGTGAGTATTGTGTTAAGGTGTGTGAACCTATGCTTTTAAAATTGTGCACTAAATTCATTGCACTATATACATAATCACGTAGATTTTTGTTGGCATATGATGTCAATAGAGGATTTTTTTTTAAGTCATATTTTGGGCCTGTTATATATTAAGAGCATAACTAGTCATTTAGGGCTGACAAACAGTAACATCAACACAGTTACCTGCGGCATTTGCCCTTGTACCAGGATTTTGAACAGTAGCTAAGCTGTTGACATACTGTATGTCTGAGCTGACATGGTATATAGATCTAATGGATACTGTACATACCACAATTCACTGTCTTTTCATAAAAGGTTGCTGCAAAATAAACATAATATTATTTAACAAACAATATTGAGATGCAGGATTGTTACTGCAACCTGATTCAGTACATCTTTATGGGCTGATAGAAAATAGTAGATGTAGAAACTGGTGGATACTCACACAGTATAATACCTCCCACACACCATTACCCTCTAGCCCACACACTCAAATAGACATATCCAGTATACACACATACAGGCATGAGCTGAACTATAGCAGTTACACTTGTGAGCAGACACACACACACACACACCAACACAGTCCTCTTCAGCTGCCCACACTTCTGTTGTCCTGCTTTCTCCTGCAGAAAGAAACATTGGCTACAGACATCCGAGGTTGTGCTCCAGAACATCAGCTCTACAGCACATGATGAATAATCACCAGTTACTTAACACAGTTTAAACTGAGCACATTTGACTGGTCGATGTCTTATATTTTTTGGCAAATAGATAACTGACCTGGGAATATGATCTTTGTGATTAAGTTGCAAGATTTTTAGCATCTCTTTGTGTGGTTACACACTGAATAGCATTGATGATTACTTACTTTAAGTGGCTTTGTACCACCTATCAGTTAGAGTGGTGATGGCATGACCACTGGCGTAATGGGCGGCAAGTGACTGCCATTTCTTGTAGCAGTAGGGGTGCTACAGGGCCATGTTGCTAGTCTGACACCCAACCCAGTGGTCGCCCATGCCGATACTGACCAAACACGGCCCCACTTAGTTTCCAACATCATAGATCGGGCTTATCCAAAGCTCACCTGGCCATATCAGTAGGAGTAGAAATGAAAAAAAGAAGATACACTGAGGCTGGTTGGCAGCCTCCAATTTTCTCTGTTCTGCAGTGCATCAGTACTGCTCTGGGTTAGGATTAACAAGACAAGTGCCTATTTTTGGAAGCACAAAGCAGAATCTTCTTACTTTTTCAGTAATAAACTTTATTATTTCACAAACATGATATTCGTAAGCTGATAAAACATGAACACTGAAAGTTCATCTGCACTAAAACACAGTGCAGGTGAACAGAGAGCCAGTGGGGACAGAAGTTTAACCAGTTAAAGAGTGCTGTCTTTTCAGTATGAACCTTTACAAAGAGTATGGATTTTTAGACAAATGACCTGAAAGTTTAAATGTGGATGCATATTGTTCTAACAGAAAATGTAGCTGTCTTAAGCTGGATTTATAACTAGTTGTTAAAGTGTTGCTTGGTAGCACATGCAGCCACTGGAGCTACACCACAGCTGATGTGTACATATCAACAGCACCAGTCAAGCAACAGGACACCTTTTTATTCAGCAGTTAATCTTTTGTGTCTATATTTTCTACATTGTACAGGGATAGATGCTAATATTTTAAGCACTGGTTGCATGGGTCAGTAAGTCCCAGAGTTTGGTGGCTAAAGTACATTTAGGGTGGCCCAAATATAAATGCATGTAAAAGCAATGCAGAAAAGTCAGTTTAATGCAAACAGCTTTCCTAAACTGTGACACTCCAATAAATGAAACAACATTAACAGAATGAAAATGTGACTGTGTGTTTAAAGAGCCCATGGCTGCTCATTTTGCTTGTTTCCAGCCATTTAATGTTTAATCTTGGATACCGCTAGATTAGCTTTGCAAACTCCAAATAGTCTGTAATTATTTCAGAATGATAAAACTGAAGAGCCTCTTCCTAAAAACAAGACGACATTTCGAGAACGTGCACAACTCCTGCTGCCAGTGTTGTGTCGAAATGTGTTTCTCGATCAAGATGTGTTTTCCCTAACCTGAATCCTAACATTATCCTAACCACAACCACTGAGGGGGTCGCTACATGAAACCGATTTTTGAACAGGGGAAGCACACCTTGACGGGGGACAAAAAAATGACAAACAGGCTACGTTCTTGACGGTGACAACACCTTAAATCCTACCTGACATGTTCGAGCCAGAATATGAAAGCGGACAGCACAACAAACAGCATTAATTAATTTGATAAACTTTGTATAAACCCAGTTGCTTTTGCATAGAAATATTAGGACATACATACACCCCATTCACATCTAAAATGATTATTCACTGTTGTGACATTATAGATAGCTAAATAAACAAGGACAAGTGCCATGGGCTCTTTAAAGACCTTCAGATGTTCAACTGTTTTGCCTGTATTGCCCTGTGGAGTATTTGAGTTGACCGTGTATGGTATTATTTTTGCTTAATAATTGGCACCACAGATGACACTGAAGGATTCAAGCACAAGTACACTTACATTTTGAAATACAAAAAAATTATGTGAACTGTAGCAACTTTAATCAATATTTGACATGTGTTATTACTATTTGCCTGTGTCCATAAAGGCCTTTTCACTCTAGGAACCTACCTGGCTGTAACAGAACGTATACCCCTTGTCTCAGGTTCTTATCTGGCATCTGATGCCCTCTGCCCACCGCACACTTTGGAGCCAAGTTTGGAGCTAAACTTTGACGGCCCTCAGGAGGTAGTACTAAATCGAGTTAGGAACTCACATGGGGAGAGAGTGGGTGGTGGCAGGGCTTTTTACCCGTAATTGGCTAAATGTCAACCGAGTTTTAAATGTTAATGGTATAAGCACAGTGTGTAAACATACACTGTTACTGGTTTAGAGGTAAAACTGGAACTTCTCTCACTTCACTTTAGCAAATTGTCAGTGGAGGTCACATTTCTGCAACAGTTGTTTGATAAACTGTTCATACAGTCTTCATTACTTGCACCATGATCAGTGAGGATTGTGGCCCTTGACTTGACATTCAAGCTGCATTGTATTTGGGTGTGAGATGCTCAACCCCACCCTCATGTAAATACTGACCAACATTTGGGAAAAATACAGTGGAACCGACCAGATAGTCTTTCATGTTCCACCATGTTATGGCGAAGGGAGGCTCCAGGTTAATTTTCTGATAGTGTGATAATGGAAATAATTTGCTCTAAAAAGTAAAGATTTTAGATTACAAAAGATTAAAAATTATTTTTTGTACTGTCTTTAAACTATTAATAGTTAATGATTACATCATTGCATCAGTTCTCTAATTTAAAAAAGCTTCACTAAAAGCTCTTGCTGTAGGACTGAGGTGCTGCCATGGCTGCCACATGGCTGAAACTGGATTTTATCAAACTTTTTATGCTTTTCTGCATGCCCCTCTGCATCTCACTTTGTGTATGTTTGTATGCAGGGTGTATATGCAGTGGGGAATTTCCAGCCCAGCGAAGATCGATCCAGAAGTCGACCACCACCCCCCATCCTGAGAGAGCCACCCCTCTCTTCCCTACCCAATGTTAGCCAAACAGCAATTAGTAACAGCCACCAAGGTAAACCATGCCTGCCGGATGTACATCACTATAATGTGTCAGCTTCAAGAATACATTTCCAGATACATGTAATAACCCTTAGGACAGAAACACACCAAGCTGACATGAAAGAACTAGCAGCAATGGCCGACTGCTGCATTGCCTCACGTTGCCTTTGTCAGGCCAGTTGGGTTGAAAAAGTGGCACTTGAACACACCGCACATAATATAGCCAATGGCTAACTAGCATGTTTGTTCTGCACCTGCATTAGAGAAACAACTCCCCCTGCCAGCAGGTGGCAGTATCTGTATTCACCATTCAGAAAGGGAAAGAAGAAGAACTAGACAGTGGAAACAAGCATAAACAAACTCGCTCAACACAGCTGCTGTTTATTGCTACTTCGAATAAAATATACATATGTCTGATGAGAAGTTGTAAATAACACTGGTGTTCTGTTTGTGGAAGAAGAAAGGTGTTTGCAGAGGCAAAAGAACAAGAAGAAACTGCACTAAATGGGCAAGATCACTGATACCCCAGCATCAGGCAGATTGTTACCAAACAAGCGGTAACCTCCAAGGCGAAGAAATTAAGCCAGTCTGGAAGTGCTAAAAGTTCTTCAAATGGCCAGTTGAGGCTGTGTCCAAAAGGGAGTCAATCCCCATAAACTCCACTGTTTATAATGTCCAACTTTACAGCAAAAATAAACATGTTTGTAGCCTGGTACAAAAAACAGTTTTGTTCTTGTTAGCTAATTTCCCCTTCCATGATTACTGTACAGGTGGAATTTTTTTTTATGACTTGCCCATTTAAATTACATTGAGACTAAAAGTTATGAATAATTAAGGGTGTGGCCACTTTGAGTGACAGGCGGGAGAGTCATGCCATTGGTGGATAGCTGCCAGCTGTCTAATGCACACTATTCATGATCCGCCTCTTTGCCCATTTTTGGATTTAAAACATAACAGGCAGAGTGAAGCACTACTAATATGGCAATGGCCAGACTCAAGCGTCAGAACTGTTCTTCAGAAAACCAACAGGTGACATCATGGTGGGGTTGTCCAGCTTTTATATACAATCATAGTTGCTGAAGCATTCTCTTCTCATGCATTGATTGAACAGCCAATCAGAGTGATCTCTAACTGATGAAACCCAATTGGCCCGATGCCAATTCAACTCACCCAATCTGCCGAAAAGTTACCGAGAGGGTGGACTAGTCCCACCAGTGCAGGACATACTGGAAGGCTGAGCTCACCAACAGCCCAGTGGTGGTGGATGGCTGACTGGTGTGTCACGGCCCATATAATGATATGGCTGGAAGATCTTGGTTCTGGTTTGCTCACTCCCAAAAGTTTGGTCATGCTAATATGATATACAAAAGAATATTGTCCCTCCTGTTTCAAGAGGTCTAAGTCAGTCTCTCCTTTTCAGCCTGATTGCGCATTCTCTGGCTGTCCCAAAACGAGATAAAGGTGCTAATGGTGGGGTCAGCCCTCTGGAGGGCTGAAAGATCAGATCAGATGAGTATCTGTACGAGATGGAAGAGCTATCACTGCTGACTGCTCAGCATATTGGTCCACACACTCCCCCGTAGCCACCTGCAAAGCCACAGGTATCGCAGTTCCTGGGAGAGATGGTTCCACCATTTGTGAGACTGGAGCCACCAGCTGTCTTGAAAAGCATCTGCATCCTTATTAATGTGGCCTGGCCGATAAGGAATACTGTAATCAAAAGCAGATAGTTCAGCCATCGCTGTTCAGTAGCTCCTAATTTTGCAGTTTCTAAATGACTTAATGGGTTATTATCAGTCCAAACACCACACTTTTGGCCCCACAAATACTCCCTGAATTTTTCAGTCATGGCCCACTTCATGGCCAGAAACTCCAACTTCATAGACCTATAATTTTTTTCTTGTTGGGCATAAACTCCTGCTGGCATAAGCGACCAGTCTCACCTGGCCATCCTGCTCCTGGGACAATATGGCTCCCAAGCTGCTATGGCCAGCGTCGACCTCAAGAATAAAAAGGAGAGAGAAGTTAGCAAAAGCAAGGGTAGGTGCACGTACAAGCCGAGCTTTCAAATCTTTAAAGCTGTTTTCACAGTACTCTGACCAAGCTTCTCCCCCATGAAACGTCCTGGCTTTTTTGGGTCCTCAACTCAGATGACTGTCACCAGCCGATGGAGCGGGGCTGCCAACCACGAAGCTGTCCACAAACCACCTGTAGTAGCTGGCAAAGCCCAGAAAAGGCCTAAGCTCATTCGTATTGGTAGGACAAGGCCACTTTGCCACTGCAGAGACCTTTCCTGGGTCAGTAGAGACTCCCCTCTCAGAATGAGGAGTCTTTGGATGCCTTGTCTGGGGACAATGGTTTTCTACCTTGGATTTGGCTAGTGGTTATAACCAAGTATCAGTAACTGAGCAGGACAAGCCAAAGACTGCTTTTTGCACACCTTTTGGTTTATTTGAGTTTAATCAGATGCCATTTGGATTGTGCAATGCATCAAGTGCATTCCAGTGGTTGATGGAAAGAATATTTGGAGCCCAGCACTGTCAGTCATTGCTACTTTATTTGGACAACATTATTGCCTTCTCGTCTAGTGTGGATGAGCATTTGAATCAAGTTGATCAAGTGCTGAGCCACAACAGAAAGGACTCAAGGCTAAGTTGAAGAAATTTTCCCTTTCAAGTTGATCAAGTGCTGAGCCACAACAAAAAGGACTCAAGGCTAAGTTGGAGAAATTTTTCTTCATTAAGAAGGAGGTGCAGTATTCGGGCCACCTGATTCTGAGGGAGGGGAAAGACTTCCTTCCTGGTCTTATGTTTCAGGTGCCTGTAATCAACACAGGTGAAGACTGCCATCCTTCTTCCTAACGAGGACAATAGGGGAGGCATAGGGGTTACTACTCTCCCTGATAACCTGGGTCTCCAACAGTTGGCATATATGCACTTTAACTGTCTCATAATCAGAGGGAGGTATGTGCCTATATTGCTGTTGTACAGGTACATCATCTAGCAGAGGGATATTGTGAGAAATTAAGTTTGTGCAACCAAGGTCACCTTCAAACTCAGAAAACACAGACTCATGTTTCAACAGCAAAGATCTCACATTTCCCTGCTCTGCTTCTGAGAGTACAGATAGATTGAGAGCTTGAATCTGCTCCTGTAGTGAACTACCCCCCTAACCTGGGAGTTAATAGCTGCAGGAACCTGCGCTGACTGACTGTGCAAGTTACTAAGCCCTGCAGGTAGGCTGACAACTTCTGCTTGAGTCAGTAATCCCACTACAACCCGGCGGTACAATGTGACTGGAGAATCACCTACATTAACAATTGGTATGTATACTGTTCCCCTAGCAACCCACACCAAAGATGGTGACACCAACAGCACTTCAGGAAGGCTCTTTTCACTTACCGGCTCAACTAGGACTGCACCAAAGGACCCAAAGTGAGCTGAACAAGCAGCAACCATCTTAAGAACACCTCCAGGTATATGAACAGGCTTCCTACCACGAACTCTTGCGAAGCCTGTCCTATTCCCAGAGGGCTGAGTCCTAGCCTGGTGACACAATTGCAAGGCTCTCTGCCATGGATCTGGGGCACTCTGTACTGCAAGGAGGTCAAACAAAACAGGTCCATGCTGGTTAAAGAGTTCATCTTAACTGTGAATAATATTCATACCCAATATTCCTGGGACCTCAGATCTAACGATGGGCCTGGTGGATCTTTAACTACTAGCACACCCTTCCTAGGAATAACTTTGCCCAACACCTCTACATCTGGTTCCAAACTGCAACCAATGGCAGGGCTGAAGTTTATCCTGAAAGTGTTCTTTGAAAAAACTTTCCAGTAGACACCATCGACCCCATGTCCAACAAACATTTCACATCCACACCTGCTAACTTAACAAGTACCTGGGGGCAGGGAGCGAACAACCTATCCACCAAGCCATCGTCCTTTGAGCCAGTAGCATCCCCTCCTAGTGGTTGGCTCTGCACACTAAAGGGAGCTAGTTTTCTGTCAGCTGAAAACTGGGCATGGCAGCCACAATAGGAGGAGTGATCAGACCAGAATTAGAGTTTCAAAAAGGAACCCGGTCATTATCACAGTGTTTTGCTTACTGGCATCGCCTGCAAACTACATTTGAATGGTCTGTCCTAACTGCATGTGTCGGTGCCTGCAACTTTAACAAGCTCTATGTCAACTGATCAATTTGTTCCTGCTGCTTCTGTAGCATGTTTCCTAATTCAGCAATTTGAGTTACAGTAGGATTAGTCGAGCAGTCGGTTAAACCTTTAATTGCAACACTTTGCACACCGTAAAAAGGGGGAAGCAGGGTAACCACTACCTGTAGTGTTGGACCTACCCTCACGCTCCCACCTGATAGCTTCTGCCCAAACATCCAATAAGGAAAGCCCTGAATCATTGTGAACTAGCCACTTCAATTCCTTGCGAAGAGCAGGCTCATTAACATTTTCTACAAACTGATCACAAAGCAACACAGCAGAATTAGCCATCTTACCAGGGGCACTAGCCACAACCTTGTCCATTAATGCACACAAAGCATGGGAATAGTCTTGCAAGTACTCACCCTCAAGTTGTTTGCATGAGAAAATGTTTTCCTCTAGTGAAACCTAAGATTTAGAACACCCATACAGCTCCTGTAAGAGTCAAAATGTGCTCTGGGTCCTCCTGTTCAGCCCTAGGCCGATATTGAATTTCATCCATAGCTTCCACTTCAAGATGATCAAAAATTTTTAAAAAGCGCTTGATCTGAGGGCCCTAAGCGGCTAGCTCTCATACTAGCTTGAACTTCCTCTTCCCATTCATCTATGCCAATACCACAAGTCCTTCTAAACACAGGGCATTTTCTTTCTCTAGGGACATAAAGAAGGTGTTGAGAAACAACAGACTGGTCCACACTCGAACCAGTGCCAGATGAAGATACCCTGCTAGGCCCTGGTTGCATTTCAGCTCTCTTTCTTTTAGGAGATGGTCCTTCTCTGCTTGCAGCTGCTGCACAAGTTCCCGCAACTCCTGGAGTTCATTGGCCATGGCAGTACTGGAGGGAAAGGAATACCGCTGCTACAGGCCCAATATTTCCAGCTGGTCAACCTGTCCCATGTAGGGCACCCTGCTGCTTTGCCTTACAAACTTCATGTTAGCCTTATCAAACAATAATACACTTAAAACCAAAACTACAGTGACTCAATCAAATCATGTCTCTGTCCTGCAGATCCTGCTGACAACGCCAAAATTGTGACTGGGCCAATATACAGGCCTACTGTATGTAACCCAGACACTAAATTTTAGTAAATCTCAATATTTAAAGAATATTGTCCCTCCCGTTTCAAGAGGTCAGATTCATATAGACTCAACAAGTACTGGCTTACCACTGGCCACGTCTCACACTGCGGCGTTTTGGTACAACATGTGTGACAGATGCCAACTCCTGCAGAATCGCGCATCAATTATCACCTGTGGAGAAGCATGCCGTAATCTCCTAAATAATCTGAGGACAGTAGAATACAGATCAATTGAGGAAGACTGAACTTCACTTCAGGACAGCAACCAACACAGCAATTGCTTATCCCAACAGCTTTTCCAGGGGTGGTATTTATATCCATGATCAACACTTCAAATTGCTCACCTGGTGGTATAGGTGTGGCCAACCCGCTGGTTACATGTAATTCATAACATAACGTTTGACTTGCTGAGTTATCATGAGTACAATATACAGTATATGTCTGATATATATCGATCACTGTGGTGTCAGACAGTCCACAGAGTGTAAACTATATAGGAATGATGATGAATAATGACAGATTTGATAAGTGACATGTTGACGCAGGGAAGCAGGCTGCAAAGCCGGGCTGGTAAGCCAGAGGGTCGGGTGAGCCAACTGGACCTGGTGAGGAGTTGATTTGCGCTGGAGATTGTGTAGTGATTGAAGAAATTGGGACTCACTGGGGAAAGTGATGCCAGCCGCTGAGGTGTTTGTGGAGCTGATAGGCCGGGGAACCACAGGCGAGCTGAGCCAGCAGGCAGTGTAATGGATACGGTTAGAGAGCGCAGGACACACTGGTGGGTCAGGCAGGCAAGAGTGATGTAGTTGTAGCTGAGGAGCCTGGAGCACATGATTGAGTCAAGCAGGCAGGAGAGAAGTCGGTGTAGCCAGGAGGCTAGGAGCATGCAGGTGAGTCAATCAGGCCAGAGAGGTGTAGATGAAGCTTGGGAGCCAGGAGCATACAAGTGAGCCAAGCAGGCAGGAGAAATGTAGTTGTAGCTGAAATGCCAGGAGCTCTCAGGTGAATATGTAGTTGTAGCTGAAATGCCAGGAGCACTCAGGTGAATCAGGCAGGCAGGCAGGAATGGTGCAGACAGAGCTAGAGAGTCACAAACTCACAGGTAATTTGAACTAGTTAGGCATGATGACAGTGTCGCTGGAGATTTTGACAGGTTCCACAATGAACTGGCAACAGATGACCCTTTCCTTGCCGGTTAAGTAGGTCCTAGATAATGAGTTCACTAGCCACAGCTGTGTTGGTAACTCACTCCCAACCAAACTTTACTTGCCACGGAGAGAGAGAGAGGGAGAGCGAGTTGCCATAACAATCAGAACCTATCTCCACTCGGGTTCATTTTTGTTGCTGCTTGTTTGATGCCTGGTCCTAAAGACACTGAACAAAATTGTACCTAACAGCTGTTCTTTGTATCTTCACGCCCAAATTTCACTGCCTGTGTTCTAAATCTACTCCACACTCTTGGTGGAATACAAACAGAGAGCAGCAGTGTTCGAGTGAGCCAGTGTGTGAACGAAGAGAGGGAGCAGCACTAGCAAAACAAAACAGTGAATCGGAGAAATAAAATGTTACAGTATTTCTGATTGTTTCATGGCGGTTACATTCTAAAGCACCACCTCTGCACAACCCTCTGGGAGGGACTTTAGGTGAACACAGTCAGAGAACAGGCTTCCTGTCTTTCCTGCTCTGGCCTGTCTGAGCTGCACCTCATGAGTGTAGCTAAGCCCAGCAGTCGGTCAAACAGACAGACACACAACTCATCAGGGTCAAGCTGTCATGGGAATATTGCTTTTGAGTGTAATACCTTGGCAGAGTGCTGTCTAGTTGTAAACCTTTAGAAATGCCCACTTCCAGTGAGTGCACTAACTTCAAATCACCCACTTTTTAAATTCGACATTAATGATTTCTTTTTGTCCTTGATAGGCCACCACACCCTGGCTCCCAGCCAACCAGAGCCCATTATCACAAGGACCTCTTCCCACACCTTGTCTCCCAAACAAGCAGGGCCCATCCTGACACGAAGCTCCTCCTACCGAGAGCCCTCTCTGACCAATCTGAAGAGAGCTAGTGCTGAGGTGGAAGTGATAATTCCATCCAACCCTCCAGGGAACCGTGACAACATGATGACCTTCAGCAGCAGCACACTGCCAAGGTAACAGTTTTAATAAGTGTCTTTATCCACAGGTTTGGTTTGGGAGCGGACCTATAACTTTGCTTAACTGTAAAATTAAATGGCAGTTCTATGACAGTTGCATGGAAACATTAATGAGATTTGGAGAACACTTATTTCATGTTGAAAAACCTAGGAGCCTGCAAGTATTTTCAGAGAAGCAGAAGCAGATTTTGATGAGAATTCCTGGGAAGTATAATAATGTCAGTTGCCAATAATCAGCTAATTTATGTTAATTACTAGGTGGCCTAGCTAGCTACTAATTGTTGCAGGATGGAGAGACTACAGTTTACATTTTTCACAAAGCAGCCACAATATACTGTGTTTGTAGGCAACATCACAAATATAGTGTGCATTCAGGTACAACACAGGTTTATAAATATATGAAATATATTTCCAGATGCAGAAGTTGCTTTTCTGATTCTTGGGAACTTCAGATATATGGTAATTTATTTACAATATTTACACATAAAGCACATGAACAGAGAGAGAGAGAAGACAAATGAGATAAATATTTAAACTAATGCACATCATCACAGGTGATTGCTTGTCAACCCTTCAGGATACACTATTGTCCTAATTTTCCAGCAAGTACTCACCCATTTTGGTAGTCCCGCACTAAATTCACGCTGCTCCCTGTGAGTGTTATGGGAGTTGTGTGACGCGCATCACATGACATGCGTGTCACATGACATGTTGACATGTTGCCCTTAAAACTGATCATCAGTAATCAAAGCTGGGAGAGCAACAGAGTGATCAATGACTGAGCCAACTTAAAATACTGACAATACATTGTAAAACTAAACTACATGTAAACAAGAGCGCTCATAGAGCACATGTACCTCCGCCAAAGCACAACATTCGCTCACTCAAATGGGTCCCTTGTGAAAAATGAGATCCAGAACAACACAAAATATGTCCTAAAATCCTTGATCCACATTAGAGCTGTATCATCTTCTAGGGTATGATAGAGAGTTATACTGTGCAAATTACCTGGTCATTTCAGGGTTCTATCTTCATTACAGGCCAAGTTATGGCAGAAAATATGTGTTAAATCGGGTTTTCAGAGTTAAATTTAAGTCAGGTCTGGAACCCGGATCAAAGATGGATGACATTTGGTCTGTTGATAGATATTACCACCCTACACATGCGTGTCAAATTTCAAATTTTCATAACTTTTGATGGAGATATGAATTTTACTAATTTTGCCCCATGTTAAAGATAGGGATTTTGTTGTTGTTGTTATTTTTTGTGACCTGGGCCTTTGACCTTTGTCAGCCGAAATCTAATTACTTCTAAGGTTGGTCCCCACCAATGTCTGTACCAAGTATGCTGATGATCCATTCAGCCATTTGTCCACAATCCCACACAGATACATATACATAGAACCAAAATATAACCTCTTTGGAGTGAAAATATGTATTTGGGATATACCAAATACACGAACCAATACAGCCCTGTGATAGGCTGGCAACCTGTCCAGGGTGGACCCTGCCTCTCGCCCAGTGTCAGCTGGGATTGGCTCCAGGCCATCCACAACCCTGTTTAGGAATAAGCGGTACAGATAATGATTGTACTGATGCAGTCATTTAATTTAAGCTTGGGTTATGCTGCAGGAATAGTTGCACAACATTTTAATGAATTTTATAGGAAAACAAATGTTTACGTCTTCTGCTCTAGGGTACAGGTGGATGAAAACCTAACTGTTAATGATGATGAGTCTTTTCAGTCAACCTCTTCATTCATCAACCATATCCTACTCAGTTGCTGGGTGAGCTGTTACTGGCTACAGCATAGCTACATCGGAGGCTATAATAAATACATGTAGCTTAATTAATGTAAATGACTAGACATTTATCAGAGTAGATCATTTACTGTTTACATAATAATCTGTGATGCTTATGGTTTAAATAATCATATATCAGTTGTTATTCATAATCATATATCACTTGTTATTCATAACATTTAACTCAGTCTAACCATTGTATTTTATTGGAATATAGATCATTTCAACAGCTTTCTTGCTGCTCCTCTGTTAATTGGAATATAGATCATTTCAACAGCTTAGCTTTCTTGCTGCTCCTCTGTTTCCATGAGCAGTCTGTCTTCTGCCTGTCACCACTGTTTGTGGAAGAAACACTGAGATAACTGGAAAAGTGATTTGAGATTTCATAGAATTGACTTCTCATCCGAGGAAAGAGCAGGAAGATCTGTGTGGGTGTAACTGAGGAAGCAACTAATTTGAAATCCTCTTAAAGGACCACTCTGAAGCAAGATGATAGACAGGGCTCTTAGAGAAAGCTGCTGGTCTCTTGGACCACACACTGGTGTTTGAGCAAATCACCAGAGAGCTGGCTGCCCCAAATTTAAAACAAGAGGAGTGAAAGGGTGCAACAGTAACAGTTAACTGAAACATTGCCAAACACACAGAATGAGAGTTGTTAAGGTGGTTTTATCATTAACTAATGCCAAGTATTGGTAGCTGAATGCCTCTGTCATGTAGTCAAACTGTTCATGTGGTTGTGTTTGGCTACTCATCTAATTATTACTTTTTATTAAACTGATTTCAAATCCAGAACAACACAGTAAACAAAAGTTTCCAAGTTCCCAAGCTTTTAAATTGAAATACTCACTACTCTAGCTCTTAGTTATTCTGTGGAAACAATTTTCATGTTATGTCATTTTCTCCATGCAAACTTTTGAAGTGCTCTGGTAGACTGGTCACTGATAGAGAAGGCAGAAGTGATTTGATTTGATTTGTTGTGACTGATATTCTGCTACACTGCAGATCCCACTTTGTTTCCAACTGCATTTTAGTTGCCACTGGCCTCAAAATTGCCAAAAGTCAGCTAGAAATCAGTCACTCACAGCATTAGTGCACTAAGCTGCACTGATTTAAAAGAAGAGAACTAATGATAAGTGTTAGCTACTACAACATATACAAGTTTGCAACTGGACCTGTGTGGTAGTTGTCTTTTAGCACAGGAACCCTCTATGGAGTCTAGTAGTGTAGCTTATCAGGGTGAGGGGGGCTTGGGGCTTTGAATAGACAGGACTTTCCATAACATAACTTCAAGCATCACTATTAAAACTTTAAAATAATGTTTAAGAATTCACAGTGAACTCATTGTTGTCCAAGGTTTATTCAAATGCACAAACTGATCATTTGTGTGGACAGATTATGAATTTGAGAATGCAATTTGTTGAGAGTACAAATTATTTTGTTTAGCTTTGTCTGCTTTGTTCTGTCCATGACAGCCACTGGGCTCCATACTAATCCTCTATTATGATATTTCAGGTCCCACGGAGGCTCTTCACTGGAGGAGGGGCACATTCCTCGGCGTCACGCCGCCATCCATGCTTCAATGGATTCAACTCGATCCAAGCAGCTCCTCAGCCAGTGGAAGAATAAAAATGACAACAGGAAGTTGTCCCTACAGGTGATGGATGGAATAAGGCCAGCCTCCTCCTCATCTCCTCAAAGGAACATGGAGCTGCGCTGCTCCTCTGAACCTTCTGCCATGGGCCTGGAGGCAGAGCTCCGCAGTGGAGCCCACCTGCCTTCAGTGACTGCGCAGGAAGCAGAGCTGCGTGCTGGAGCCCATATCCCAGTTCAGTACATGAAGCTAGCAGCTAGCTCTGTTCCTATGCCCAACCATAATCACTTGACCCATAATGGCAGCACTGGATTGGCTAGTGGGGCCAGAGTCTCTATTCAGTCCCGGCCTGGATCCTCCCAGCTGGTTCACATTCCTGAGGAGGAGAACCCCACCAGTAAAGATCAGGAGAGTGAATCAGAGGACAGCATTATGGATGGCAGTGGGTCAGTCAGGGAAAAGTGGCTGAGAGTGACTGAGAAGACCACCCTCCCCTGCAGGCCACTCAGTGCTGGGGGACAACCTCGTCTTATGCAGGTTGATCTTTTTTTTTTTATCTACTTAAACGTCTATCTGTCATTTATCCATCCATCCATTTGCTTGTCATGTATCGAAAGCAAGTCAGTTATTTGTTACATTACAATCATTTGGCAGACACCTTTGTCCAAAATGGCACAATTTTGAAGTGCATCCCCTCTCAAACAAACAACTAAATGCATGATCAGGCAGCCAGCAATCAAGTGCTTTTTTCTTTGGTTTTGCAACTCAGTCTTCATTATCAGTTAAACCACTAATTATTCTCTACACTAGTTATTAAAATTAAATATCAGTACCAGCTTGTCCAGGTTAAGCTTTAGGTGGTAGCTTGATATCCACTCTGAAGTATCTGTCAAGAACAACTGGGCATCCTGAGCATAGCACTGGTAGGAGAAGCCACATGAGTGTAGGACAACAGAAGGAGAAGAGGAGGGGTCCCAGAACACAGCCTTGAGGGGCCCCTATTCCTGCAGTGGTTAGCCAATGATATCTTCCATGTCACCTATTAAAAATGACCAATCATGTAGGATGCAACTACAGACAGTGCATAACCTAGGACACCCAACCTTTTAAGGGTTAAGAGGAGGGTCTTGTGGTTCACTGTGTCAAACACATCTATCAGGTTCAGAAGGGTGAACACAAAAGAGAGGGAGTTAATTGAACATTAATCTTAACTTAAGGTGTACTTGCTTTTTGTGGAGCTTTTATCCAAAATTCAGAGCCTTCATCAATCGATTAAATTTGCTCAGTTGTCATGGACTTGGCAACTTGAGTTCAAAATAAATGCCTCAAAATATTGCTAGTTGCATCAAGAATACTTCTGTGATTATAACAGGAAACAGGTCATCTCAATTTCCCCAGAGCGGACTCCAGGTTTCCTAGTTTTATTGAAGCTACAGTAATATACATGTTATGTACAAGATGAGAGTGACCTGTGTGTTGTTCCCAGGGATGCACAAATACTGTTGTCAACTTTATTATTTCAGAAACTCTTTCAAAATTTACTGCCACCACTAAAATGCAATTATACTCAAAGGCAGATATTTACTAAACCTATTGAAAATTATCATATGTGCAAAATATCGAGGCACTGTAATTTTTCTTTTTAGCAGTGTATTTACCAGCACTGGTGATGTAAATGAGCGCAGCTACAGCTGTGTTAATGTGAGTACACCTCTGCTTATCTGTGGCCTGTATTGCACATGTGTGGCCAAAAAGGAAATGTAGAAGTCTAGGTTTACAGCAATTTGCTTTGCTGATGCATTTTTTTTTTCCTCTGTGCAAAGCCCCACTGTGACCCCTTAGTAAAGATGAACACACAATTTCACTGTTTAGCATCCACAAATTTGCCACATAAGTTTAGTATATACAGTATCTCTCTATGTGTTGATTATGTTGGAAGTATGTTTAATTAGAATGCAGCATGTCCCAAATTTTAGCAGCACAGCTACAGTAGTATAAAAATATTTGAAAAGAAGCCTGTTATGCTCAAACCTGAAAGGGGTTTAAAACTGTGTACAATGGTGTTTACAGTACATGGCAAAATAAATGGAAAGATGGTCCTTTTTGCCAAGTGGAGTTGTGTAAGAAAACCAGGAGCTTTGGTATTGAGGTATCTCAAGAATCAGTGTGCTTCAAAATCTTATTCAATAGTTTATTCTAGTAAAACTGTATCATTTCACGCTGTATGTTTCATTGACAGCTGCAATAATAGTCTTTTGTTAAAAGGATGGTAGTTGTAGTAATAGTACTCAGTGGAGCAGGATAGTTAATAATGACTGATTGTCTCAGCAGCAAGATTAAGAATAGCTTGCATTTCACTCTCCTTCTCTTTTTCCAGGTAATAGCCTTATCCAAACAGCAGGGTCTGCTTCATTCTCCTCGGTCAGAGGATGGTGGATCCATCAGGTACCGAGCCCTGACAGATCAGGACCCATCACCACCCGCCTCCACCACTGGAGCAGTGGGAGGAGGTCTGTACTGCAAACAGAGGAATACATATTGTTGATCTAGTGTGTGGTAAAAGACTGGAATGTACTACATGTAGGGTCTTAATGATGAATCCTTATTACAGTAGAAATTAGTGCAATTACAATAAAGAATGAGCCGATCACAGAGAAGACTGGCAGCCTTAACTGCCCTCTACCCTGCACTGAGCATCATAAGATGGATGATAAAACCAACTGTCACACAAAATGGAACAAGGCCATTCAGTTTTAGATTTGATATGAGGTGGAAGGAATGAAAGCATCAAGAAAACGACTTCTCCTCTCAGCAGTCCAAAGTGGGGTGAATACACAGGAGAGGCTCACAATCATCTCAGCTATTGTCTCGTATAAAAAGTGTAGTCGGCTGAATTTTCACTTGAGTTCACAGTATTGTGTCATATTATTTAGAAATAATACATGTAGCACCTTTAATATAAATATGTACATATTAGTGGCTGAGAAAATTTCATAGACTGCAGTCCCATTAATTTTAGTATAATATAATACAACAAAAAGAAGAACGTCAAAGGTTTAACCTTACTTTCTTAAAGGATAAGGTCAGTGATTCAATATTTTTTGGTTATTTTCCACAAATCCCATACAGAGACTAAAACCAGCAATGGATTTCATGTGCTCACCACAATGTCTGTGAATCCAGAACCTGGTTTAGCTTGTGTGTCTGTGCTGTAGGGCTTCATTGTTTGCACTAACTTTTAAACACACAACTGAGCCACACCTCTGCATTGGATGACATATTTTCCTCACAAAATACATGTGGCCATTACTTTCCTAAAGTTTCTTAAGTAGTAAAGTCAGCTGCACATGCACATGATCTCTGCTGTATTTACACTACTCCACTAGTTTTTTTGGGTTAGTGTGATGGTGTTATGTACAGTCGGTACGGAAAGTATTCAGACCCCCTTAAATTTTTCCCTCTTTGTTATATTGCAGCCATATGCTAAAATCATTTAAGTTCATTTTTTTCCTCATTAATGTACACACAGCACCCCATATTGACAGAAAAACACAGAATGTTTGACATTTTTGCAGATTTATTAAAAAAGAAAAACTGAAATATCACATGGTCATAAGTATTCAGACCCTTTGCTGTGACACTCATATACTGTACTTACAGTGCAAGAATGCATTCCTTGTTCAGCTTCCTTCAGAAGCTAAATCAGGTTCTGGATTCACAAACATCACGCTGGGTCTCCATACTGGATTGGTGGAAGACAGACAAAAATCTTGAAATGATAAATGTGGTGGTATTCTCTATTTTTTAAGTCCACAAATCCCTAAACATAACAAGCAACCAACATTGAATGTATCCTACTAACAAATATTATGTGTGTATCAGAGCCTGATATGTATTATTCCTATACATAGAACTTCACTGTTGGCCAGAAACTATTAAAAAACACACACCAATAAGCCCTGGTGGCATGGTGGTGCAGTGATTAGCGCTGTCACACCACAGCAAGAATGTTCCAGTTCGAGGTTTGAGCCCCGGCCATCCTGGGGCCTTTCTGTGTGGAGTTTGCATGTTCTCCCTGTGCCTGCGTGGGTTCTTTGCAGGTACACCGCCTTCCTCCCACAGTCCAAAGCCATGCAGCTTAGGTTGACTGGTGACTGTAAATTGCCTGTAGGAGCGAGTGAGTGTGTGTGGTTGTTTGTCTACATGTCAGCCCTGTGATAGACTGGTGACCTGTCCGGTGTGGACCCCGCCTCTTGTCCAGTGTCAGCTGGGACTGGCTCCAGCCCCCCTGTGACCCCAGTCAGGAATAAGCGAAATAGATAATGGATGGATGGACCAATGAGCCCTACTGTTGTACTGAGTGGCATGTTTGTTCAATATCATTAACACACATTAAAGTTTGTTTAGACTCAATCCCACAAACACCATCCGCCAACAAATGTACAATTTCCTTCTGTTCGAGTAATATACTTCAGTGGCCAGCTATAGGAAATTCTTAAAAAATGTTTTTATATAACCTTTTAAATATAAATCAGGAGGTAATTTTGGTGATTTTGGTCTCCAGGCTTATCCTTGAAGGTTCATCATTTGGGGAAACACACTTTTATTTTCCCAGTATCAGGTGATTGCTGGATCTCAGTTTCACCATCAGCACTGTTTTGCATGTGGGAGTACTTAAGATTCACTCAAAGACTGTAAGTTAGAAAAGGAGCTAGCTTAGTTCTATACTTTCTTCCTAGCATAAGCCTGCAGAGGGTCTGGGAGCTAATGTGCCATATTCTGCTGCTTAGTGGCAGTCACAGCAATATGAGCCCCATGCTTTCACATTTATGGAGTTAAACATTTAAGATGATTATTGTTCAAAGTAGAAGATTGTTACTGAATGATTCATTTGTCATTCTTTTAGGTGGAGGTTTAGAAAGATCTGGCAGTATTGTTCGTGTTGAAGCCCACCCGGAGTCCAGATCCAACAAACCAATTGTGAAACCACCCAGCACTGACGGAAGTGGCTCCTGGCGATGGAAACCACCTGAACAGCGAGCGTCTCTCCGACAGTCATCTTTTGCCCTCAATGACCTGAACAGGCACACTGACAGCTGTGATTCGCTGAGGGATGGAGGGTCAGTGGATGGACGGAGGAGCGTGACAGGGACTGAAACTGAAAGTGAAGGGGGAGGAGATGGAGGGGGAGGCGGAGGAGGAGGTGTATACACAAACCACCCACATGTTGTACACCCTTTACATCCCTTACATCCCAATAACCCCAACAACTTCCAGAACCCCAATTTTAATCCCAACAACCCCAGTAACCCCAACTTTAACTATGCTCACCTTAACTTCAACCCAAACTCTGCCAACTCTAATATGCCATTCACCCCTACTGTTACCTTTGCTCCTCCTTTCCACCCTCACCCTCAGGCTGTCACCACCATCAGGGTCACCCCAGTGGAAGGGAATGCTGCCAGCAGCGATGGTGGCTCAGACACTCAGTCAGTGGCCTCATCCAGCCGGGAGTCCACCCTGAGGAGGAAGAGTGGCTCCAACATCATCCATGTCCCTGATCGAGGGCCCACCCCTGACCCACACAGCAACCATCGCCTTTGTGACGACAGTAACCGCCTTGACGAGAGCAGTAACCGTTTCCATGAAAACCTTAGAAGTTTTCAAGAAAACCCCATCCACCCCAATCACCCCAACCTCTCCAACAGGCAGTTGCAGGGGATGTTTGGTCGTCCTAGTCCAACCCCTCCCCCTACCCTACCCCGCCCCATCCTGACTCACACACCACCTCCTACTTTAGGGTTGGCCTATAAAGAATGATGAGTTCAGTGTTAAATTTATCCATATACACTCTTGATAAATATTTGTCAATCTTAACTTTTACAAAAACTGCAGGGGAGATGCTACTTCAGATGGGCCAAAATGAAATGACATTCTGTTAAATCTGTCCCCCACCCAGAGCCAGCCAATAGGGGATGGCCAAAACCTCTTTAGTCCCACCCACCACCTCTCATCGGGCCAATTAGGGTACACATTATGGCCAATTGTGTTGACCCCAGCATCCCAGCTGCTTTCGTTCCCAACTGATTAAGTGTTGTGTCTTGCATACAGGGTCCAGTCATACAGTACTATTTTGGGTATGACGGTTTAGGAAGGCCACATCTTCCAGCACCCTAGGGCTTAAGAGGTTAATTCATTATTTTTCTTTGTGTTTTTTTTTTTTTGTTGTTGTTGTTGTTAATAATACTGGACTTCTGGATAAGCCAGCAATATTTTGTAAATCTAACAAACTGAGTGCACTTGCTTTATAGGCCGACGGGCTATATAAACTGTTGACCCTTTGGCTCGTTTGGAAAGGGAGACTCTGGCCTTCTCACTCTGTCCCATAACTGCCTGCCAGCAAGGATGGATTCAACATAATGAGCCCCCTCTCTCCTCTGACTGTAGGTCAGTTGCAAATGGGGTTGCATTAATGTTACTAACATTTATACATATATTCTCAGCATTCAGACTGTTGTCACACACAAGTAATGTATCTTTATATAAACTTGACAGCGTACCCATGTGCCATTAGACAGAAGTTGCATTTAAAGCCCATACCTGTGCTGTGTTTGTACATATGAGATTGGGTGGCCACAGTGGAAATTATAACCACTGTTTTAATTGTGTCTGGGCTGCAAGGAGTCCCCTTGTGGCAATAACATGATCTCTTATTTCCCTGGTGGTGTTGTGTTTGTGTTGAATAGGAACAACATCATGGGGTGTACATTGTGCTTAAATATAGAAAAACAAGTGCTCTGTTTTTAACATATTGTTTTAATGATGTGCAGTAATTATCTTTACTCTGTAGTAGCTGTACTGGACACTGACACATGCAGCATGGTAATCATTCAAACAAACTCAGACCATACTCCAGTCCAAAGACTAAAGGAAGTTAAGTTTTTTGGTTTGTTTGTTTGTTTTACAAATTCATCATGTTTCACAGCATTATGGGTTCAATTATGATGTAGTATTTGAGCCACTGTTGGGAAAAAATTAAATCTAATATCGCAAGAGTAAGATAATGATATTTTGAGAAAAAACATTAATTAATGTTATGAAATAAAGTTGTAGTTCTGTGTGGGAAATGGTCATATTGCTCAATAAGAATAGTTGTAACTTTACTAATAACAGACTTGTAATATAAAATATTACAAAAATAAAACTATTTACAAGAAAGTACAATATTACAAAAATACAGTCTTAATTTTACATTTTATAACAATAAAACATCATTTTGAGGAAACCAAAGGCATAGAAATAAAATTATATAATTTTACAAGAAAGTACAATATTATGTGGTCTTAACAGTATAAAACAAGTTGTAATTTTAAAGAAAATGTTATATTACAAAAATAAAGTGTCATTTTACAAGGAAGTGCAATACTACAAGAATTAAGCCTTAGTTTTACAATGAAGTCACATAACAACATAAAGGTGGAATTTTAAATAAGGTTGTAATTTAGAAGGAAATGTAAAAACATTATTCCAAAACAGACAAAATATTACAAGAGTTAAGTTGTAATACCAGAAAAAGTCCAGAAAAAAAGTAATTATGAAAAACAGCATTTCTAGAATATCTGAAATGTGGTTATATTTTGAGAAGACTTAATATGTTGTAAGTATATTTACTTGTTTTAGCATTAGCTGACTGTCCATACTGTACAGTTGCTACTATTCCTGTGTTTGTCCTGAAATATACAGTATGACAATAAGCTGCCTGTCTTTGGAACCTTTGACTTCAGATTCTCAGAGACACTCAGTCTGACACGTAAGCTGACAGGCTGTTCTCACCTGTTTACTACAAGAGAATATTAATATAAAACATTTAAATTGTTTTACATTTGATTCCTTGATGGGATTTTACAACTTTATTTTCATAGAGTTGTGACATAAAATGTCAGTTACATTTTTTAATTTATGGCTTTTTTTGTGAAATTACAACTTAATTCTTGTTAGCATGTTATAGCTATTCTTCTAACATGCTTTTTTCCCCTTAATTATTTCGCTGAATCATTTTCCCCATTAACAGTGGCTTTATTACTCATTCTCTCATATTTCACTGCACTGCCATACTATAAACTACCTTTGCACATGTGGTTGAATTCATGAAGAATAAAACATTGTGACATTTCTACTTTGGTGATACTGGAGGAAATAATCACACTCCAAATGTAAAATTTACCAGTTACCAGGTGCATCATCATATGAACTATTCCACAGACATTTCCCCACCTTTTCTCAGCCCAGTGTTTACATTCTTTGTTTAACTTAGTGCCCAAGTGCCATCAAAAGAACAGTTGTGTGGCTGTGGGCTGGTCACATACAGTAGATTGCCATGGTGCAGGACTTCATGTCTGGCGCTCAGCAGACAGTGTTGTGAAGTAAACCTGCCAGAAAACACAAAGATCCTCACATTTGGATCACATGCAGCATTGAAGAAAGCACAATCACTGCAGTTTGATGACAGGGTCCAGATAAAACCAGAACTCAGTAGATGTTATGTGTTGCTTTGTACAAGGTCCCACTTCTACTCGGGTGTCTCTTTGCTTTTTCATTAGTAGGTGCAGGGCCATGATGAAGAGCTATATTATCAGTGCACTGAGATGTTTTTAAAGGAATACACAGAGGATGAGTGGAGAGGACATACAGTATATATATATAAGATTTCAACAGTTGCTATAGGGAGTATTTTAATTAAATTTCTGTATCTGAAGAGTATATGTGACAAATGCTTTTTAATTGCATTCAGCTTTTTCATGTTATTTTGTTTGTTTGTTTGTGTTACCTAACAATGAAGAGTAGACTAGACTAAATACAAAGGTTTCTGTGCTCATTCTTCTTCTCTGCTTTTTGGTTTTGTAGCTGTTATTTTATGGAGTCTCACAGGAGAAAAATGCAGTATCTTATGTTGATATTTAGAGTTGTACTACACTGCAGAGGATACAAGCCACCTCATCATCTTACCTGCAATTGGGCTTTGATACAAGCCACTGTGGATTAACTTTACAGCTGAAGGAACTTAGTGAGCTTGATGAACAGTCAGAATTGTAACTGTTCAGACTAAGAAAGCGACTGAGGCAACGGATCATGTGCAAATGGATCTTTAGTCTTAGTCTCAGTAATTTTGACAGTTAACATTTTCTGCAGAGGAGACTGTAAAAAGCTGTGTATTTAGTTAAAGAGCTCCACTTGGGGTTTTATGTATGTGTGTGAAGGCCCGTCTTACTGTAGTAGTTAAGAATAAGAAATACTTGGGCTGAATATTAAATAGAAGTGTATGCAGGACCCAGTGCTGGATCTTAACTCCCCCTGAAGTTAGGACTGAATAATTATTTGTTTTTAGATTAAAATTACATTTTGAAAGAGTGATGTCTTAAGGTCCCAAAAGTGAAATAAGGATTGACGGACACTGGCAGATTTACTCAGCTGTAGCTAATTAATGTTAATTCCTGGAGTTGAGCAAACTATTGGCTGTTGTCAGGCTAATGCATCATCTGCATGTCAGCTTCTGTGCTGTTCATGTTCGGCCAAAGATGTTGGAATCAACAGTGGTTGGAATCTTTCCATTAATTTTGTGAGCACATCAATTAGTTTGTATGCTTGTCACTGTGAAACCTCTGAACTGGGAACTTTGGGATTTGTTCCTACAAGCAGTTTGTCTTGTCACTCTTTGAAGCTAATGTTAGCATTAGCTCAAGCGAGTGAAGTTTGGTCTCAACAGAATCATTAGGAGGCATAGGTCTACACAGTTATGTTGTCAGACAGGACTTTCCAGTAATTTGCCAGTATCACAGGTGGACAAATTTGTAGCTTTGTATTTGCTGTTGACAGATAAAGTTCACATGTGGTAGTGTGATTTTTGTACACAGTGTGAGCTAAATTGGTCAGCTTTTCTAGAAAATGTAGTTTATTGGTTTACTTAGATGTGGAACACTGGCAGGACCTGAGCATTCTACTGCATAATATTATCTAGTTGTTTTCATGAAGAAATGAGATGCATCTCTCATCATTCCTGAAATTTAAATCCCATTTGTGATTTGAAAAAAAAAATACAATTCTGCATTTTCCTGATATAGTTTACAGTGTCATCAAATGGGAAGAGGAAGAACAATAGAAATACTAAGATGTATTGGTGAACTGCCGTGCAAACTGCTTTAGCCTTAAGGATTTGGCTTCACTTTACAGCACTATTTTAGTTGTTTTCACACACAGAAAGCCTTTATTTAACCAGTGTAGTTTTAACTATCTTCACGTATCCCACCCCTTAACCAAAGCTGCTTAACCTGCCTTGTAAATATTTTCTTATGAGACTTGCAGGGTACAAAATATAGAATGTAAAAAGTACAATATTCCCCTTAAAGTTCTTAATTATGCATACAAATCTGTGCTTAAATACACAAAGGACTGTTTCCACAACACATTAGAGTCCGTGCTCATATCATCAATTTCATCCAGACTGTGTTTAACATGAATACTGTGATACAGTAAAACAGTTCCTCTAAAAAGAAATAATTCCATTCATAAATGTGTTATGCCTGTATGTGGTCTTGGAGACAGGGGGGTGTATTTTGGTATGGTAGATGCTGTGGAATATGGATTGTAATCAATTGCAGTGTAATCTAGTTTGATGTAAAAAAGAGTGTTGTAATGGTATAATTTCAGTTATATACATTACCCATATTCAGTTTAAATATCAGTACAAATATTTTTGAGAGAATGTTTTTGTTTTAAAGTTGAGTACTTTGCACTTAGAGTATAGTTTTGTGTGCTTTTAGCAAGTTCAACAAGGAAAGGAAAGATTAAACTGACAAGAAAATGACCTGAGTCTTTCAAGACATGGTAAAGTGTAAATAAGAAGCTGATCTTGCAAGAAAGCTTTTGGTTTATAGCTTATTAAGAGAGGTATACAATCAATAGAGTATGGGCAGAGAAAGCCTAGAGAATGTTTATGGTAATAGCTTATACTTTACTTTAGTGTCTTTATACTCTGACATTGATATGGGGGTCACATCTGATTTAGTGTTTTTAAAATGTATGACATAGCATCTTTCCATTTCCAATTTTAAAGTGTTACTTAATTGCATTTTCTGCACTGGTAAATTTAAAATCACTGTTTTTCTAACATATGTTTTGAATTCAGTTTAAGTGAAAGAGGGTTACAGTATGTGACTTTTGAAATTACGGTGAGAATTGAATTGAAGCTGCAAAAAAATCACATGACCTGCATCTGTGCTAAAATACACATTGAGTAAGGAGAAGTACAGCATGTCCAAGCAGATTTCTGGACACCAACATGGAATTGTGCAATGTACAGTTATTACATTGACTCTCCCCTTAAATGTGTAATTTTCCCAGCTCAGTGCAGATAATGTCATGGTGAGCCCAGGAACTAGTATTTTACTGGAAGAATGTCACTGCGCCCTGCTATTATTGTCACAGAAGAAGTGAAGTCAGAGCCTGAACCTCATTTAATGAGAGGAAGCTGCTCTTTATGGTACACTTCACATGTTTTGGCTTTTGACTATATAGAAATGACATGCTATAATTAAATACAATTCCAGTAGTTATATAGGGTTTGCTATTTTGTAGTAAACAGCATATAAAAATCTGATTATATTTTGATATTTCAGGCAGCGTTTCCTCAGTTTTACAGTGGTGCTGCTGCGAGTCAAATAAAAGGCAGAATTTACATGACTAGCTAATTAGCTGTATTATTATCTTCAACTTGTAAACCCTGAAACAATCAAGCTAAACGTTTTTGCGGCTTACATTTCAGTACAGTTCAGTTTAACCTGTGACTTTATTATGTATATAAAATGAATTGAATGAGCTTTAGTTTCGGACTTGTACTGGTAATAAACTAGCAAAATGTGGATAGTACTTTATTAGGCTACTTGCTTACAAAGGGTACCTGGGTTGGTGGTGTTTGTCATGCTAGGAGCTACATAGCTACCCTTCATACTACCTATTGTTTACACAGTCAGTGGCCAGCTGGTTACAACATGCGTTCATAGATTAGACCAGCTTCTGAAAGTTTGTCATAAACATGTCAGATTGATCAAATGTGAATAATCCACAGATAACTATTTAATATCTGCATCATATTTATAATAATCTGTTATTTTTGTCTTTCTCTTTCATTCAATCTTAACTGATACAGTATATAGATATTTTGATTGGTG